ATTGCCTGGTAGTGTAAGGGCTTAAGTCTCCGCACTATGAAGCTAGCTGCAGCCATTGCAGTATGATCCCCAGATTTCCTTGGATAATCATTAGTGGCTACTTAAGACAATTTTTCTGTAAACAAACTATGCCTGTTCTTCCTGGCTCTACACTTCGAAAACAAATCTGTGTCATTGCCTATAAATGTTTACATGTCTGAAGACTGTCAAGTTTTGAAAACCATAGCCAGTGTTTTTCTACATGTTTTCACTAAGTCTTTTTCCTAAAATACCCAGCCAAGTAGTTGACCCACCTGACACAGCAGACCTGTCCTCTCTCTCCTGCAGCTCCACTCAGCAGTGTGTCTTAATAGACCTTACTGTTCTGCTCCCTACTCTATCTCTGGTGAATCCTCTCACTCTCCAACACGCACATCTCTGGTCTACACCCCAAATGTTGTATACATAAATAAAATAAATCTTTAAAAAATAATAAAAATACAACCAGAATGATCTCTACCCAAAATCTTACTCCCTATTGGTGTAACCACCAGTGATAATTTACTATATATTTCAATTGTTTTCTGTTCTATTTGTATATGTTAATACACATGAATGGGCATGAACCACCCTCTTACTGGGATGTATGCAAACCTTAACTATTTCTTGACAAAAATAGGATCTCATGTTTTGCAAAATTATTAACATATGTGGGCATCTTAAATAAGTGGCTATAAGTAGGTTCCTTTCTTCAGAACATAATATAGCATGCTAAGTATTAGTACCATATATTATTTTTTTAAGGAAAATATAAAATGGGAACGGTGAATTTTGGTGAATATCGGCTGGACTTACCTTGTGACATGAGCTATTTCCCCTGGTTCTCACCTGGGGCCAAGTCATTTCTCAGAGACCTGCTCTGTCCTCTGTGTAATTTTGTTTGCCCTTGGATAATCTTTACTGGCTACTTAAGACAACTTTTCTGTAAACAAACTATGCCTATTCTTCCTGCCCTATTCTCCATAGCATTGCCTATAAATGGTCACATGCCTAAAGACTGTCAAGTTTTGAAAACCAAAAGCGTTTTTCTACCTGTTTTCACCAAATCTTTGCCCCCAAATCTCCAGTAATCTAAATTCTGTTTTAAATATCCTCCCCACCCGTATTCTTGGCCCCGCAAAGCTGCTTATTTAAAAGAATGAAATCTGAATTTATAGTACGTTTTACTTAGCAATTGATTTTATAAATACCAGTCTCACAGTCGTTGGATTCAGTGTGACCTTGTGTGTTTGGGTTTTTTTGGTTGGTTTGTTTTTGTTGTTGTTTCCACTTCTCAAATGTGTAGATGGTATGGGTTAACCATTAGGATGATTTACCTTCAGAAATTCTGTGTCCGAATAAAATAAGTAAGAAGGTAGGTAGTGGGGGGGAGGTGGGGTGGGAAGGAGACAGCTCAAGCAGGGGAGGGAAGAGCGCACGAGATTATGGTGATGGTGCATGAGTGAATTAGTGGTGGGAATTTGTTTTTTAAAGATTTTTTTTTTTTAAGACTTATTGATTTATACATATAAGATCTGGGGTTCAAGCCAGAAATGTGGGAGGTAAGAGGGTTCACCAGAGGCAGAATGGGGAGCAGAACAGGTAGATTGACTGAAACCCACTGCTGAAAGGAGCAGCAGGTGAGACAGGAGAGGTCTGCTGCGCCATGTGGGTCACCTCCTGGCTAGAGATCGAACTCAAGTTCTGCAGTGGCTGCAGATAGCTTCATAGTGCTGTGCATTAACCCTTTGTACCACCAGGGTGGGCCAGGGGTGGGTCTTTTATGGGGAGCTGTATGTGAGAGGAGAAAGCACACATTGTACAAAAATGAACAATGATGTAAAATATAATTTTTTTTTAAAGTCAATAGTAAGGTTAAATTGATACAGCACAACTGCCTGAAATTGGAGTCACAGAGTTGTCCGTGCCTGAGATTCCACTGTGATGGAACTTGGCCTGCTTCCTTGCTGTGCTCTGGGAAACCTGCTGTACTCATTTCCTACCCTTCATCTGTTTGCTTTCAGAATGAAGAGTGAGTGTGGGAGAGTTTGAAAGCAAAGCACGGAGTCATGAAGATAATTAAATATAATATAATTCTCTTAATGAGTCTTTTAAGCCAGAGAAGGGAACAATGAGAAGCTCCTTTTTTGATGTGCTGATGAGTTTATGACAGCAGAAAGTCAGGGTGCTCCTGTGGGTCCCAGAATGAACCCCAAGTTGGGGATGTGGATTCAGATCTGCAGCTGGCTAATAGCATGACTCACAACAAGTTGCTTCCCTCACTGTTCTTGTTCATAAAAGAAAGGAATTGAATGAAATTACTGTATAGTGTCCCATCCAGATCTTTTCTGTGGTTCTCTATGATTTTTTCTGCAAAGTGGTACAGACGATTTTTTTTTTTTTTTTTAGATTTATTTACTCTGGCCCTCCCTGGTGGCGCAGCAGGTTAAAGCACTGCACTAAGAAGCTTAAGCCACTTCCACATGAGTTCAATTCCCACCTGCCCCGGAGGAGATCCACATGGCGTGGCAGACCTCTCCTGACCCACCCGCGGCTCCCCTCAGCAGTGTGCTTCGTTGATCTGCCTGTTCTGCTCCCCGCTCTGTCTCTGGTGAATCCTCTCACCCTCCACATCTCTGGCCTGTACCCCAATTCTATATGAAAAAAAAAAAGATTTATTTACTCTTACAGAACTGGGCTATAGGCCGGAGGTGTGGTAGGTGAGAGATTCACCAGAGACAGAGTGGGGAACAAAACAGGCAGATCTACTGAAATACACTGCTGAGGGGAGCAGCAAGCAGGTCAGAAGAGGTCTGCCTCACTATGTGGGTCATCTCCCTGGCGGGAGATCAAACTCGTGCTACCGTGACTTCAGAGAGCTTCATTGTACAGTGCTTTAACCCATTATGCCACTGAGGAGAGCCCAGATATAGATGATTTTTAGGCTGAGATCTGACTAAGAGTAAATCTGTATATAGTTCAAAGGTAAAAAAGAAAATTGTACAGATTTCCGTAAGCATCATTCTTACCACTCTTGCCTTCCTCCCGCTTACCCCAGGACTATGTGGTGAACGTAACAGAAGAATTCCTGGAGTTCATCTCAGATGGAGCTCTGGCGATTGAGGTGTGGGGTCACCGCTGTGCTGGAAATGGGAGCTCCCTCTGGGAAGTGGATTCTCTCCACGCGAAGACAAGAACACTGCATGATAGGTGTGTGGGTGGCCCACATCGGACACAGGGGGGACAAACACTGGGTGTTTGTTAAGAAATCAGTGTCTGTGAGTCTCTTTCCTCCTTTGTGAAATGGAAGTGATAGCAGGAGCCACCGGGGGGTGAAGAAATTCGGTGAGGAAGGGCAAGTTTTTTTTTATCAAATAAGACTGAAACAATCTGTATCTTTGCGTCACACCATTCATGAAGCTTGATTTGAGAGGGGTCATGGCTTGAAGTTAAAACTGTCAAGCTTATAGAAGAAAACAGAAGGCTGCCTGCATCACTTGGTGATAGTCAAGAGATTCTCAGAGAGGCCAGACAGCATTTACCATGGAGGTAAAAGTTTTAAGTTGGGCTTAACGAGACATCATTGTAAAACTGGATTGACAAGTCTGGGGGAAAGCCAGCAGTTATAGTGTTGATCATTTGTCTTATCGGTGACCAGCAATCCCACCCTAAGGTATTTAGGAAATGGAAAACATAATTCCATAAACAGATTTGCACACAAATACTCGTGGCGGCTCTAGTCATGACACCCCTAGCTGCAAATAACCCAGCGCCCTGCAATGAGATTCTCACGATGTGAGAATGCCCACATTGGAGAAGTAGTCCTAAATAGACTATTACTCAGCAATAAAAAAGAAGGAACTGTTGATATCCACTTGAATGAATCTCAAAATCATCTTGAGTCAGAGAAACCAGACCTAAAAGAATACATACTGCATGATTCCATTTACATGAAGTTCTGGAACAGGCAGAATTGATCTTTGAGGTTTTTGTGGCTGCTAAGGATGGTGTGAGGAATGGGAATGGGGAGGCTTATGAGCAGACTTTGGGGCAATGGGTGGGTTACTCAGGTATGCATTAAACTCCTCGAACTCTGGACATTTTCTTGAATGTAAGTTTTACTTCACCTCAGTCAACAAGGTTCTTTTGATCTGTGTGTGTATGGGTAGAAGAACTGGGGAATAAGCCAGAGGAGGGAGATGAGACAATTCACCAGGGACAGAGTGGGGAGCAGAACAGGCAGATTGCCTGATATACACTGCTGAGGGGAGCAGCGGGCGGACAGGAGAGTTCTACTGTGCCAGGTAGGTCCGCTACCTGACTGGGGATCAGACTGATGTCACAGGGGTGCTAGAGCTGAGGCTTAACCCCCAGACCGCCATTGAGGCCCCCTATAAGGTTACACTAAGAGCTAAATAAGAAGAGAATCTGCAGCATGCATATAGCACAGTGCCTAACACGTCTCAGTGCTCAGTGCGTGCTGGCTTGTTTCTGTTACTGCTAATGTCCTGGGAAATGACATTGCCGACATGTGTCGCTGCAGGTGGAACGAAGTCACTCGCAGGATAGAAATGTGGATCTCCATATTGGAGCTGAACGAGCTGGGGGAGTATGCTGCAGTGGAGCTCCATCAGGCGAAAGATGTCAACACAGGAGGCGTCTTTCAGCTCAGACAGGTACTCCGTTCCCTCTGACGTGGTTCACGTTTTCTCCCTGTCCCACCCTTAAACACTTTCTGGAAATGTTCTAATTGTTTGGCGGCTCTTTGTCCCCGAATTCTTTTCCCTTCCTTTATCCCCTGCCGTCCTGGCTCACCCTACCATTCCCGGCACCCACGCCTCCATTGCGCCCCCTGCACCCTCATCGCTGCAGGGCCACTCCCGGAGAGTGCAAGTCACCGTGAAGCCCGTGCAGCATTCAGGGACGCTGCCCCTCATGGTTGAAGCCATCTTGTCAGTGTCCATCGGCTGTGTGACTGCCAGGTCCACCAAGCTCCAAAGAGGGCTGGACAGTTACCAGGTGAGACCGACCGATTTGAAATAGTATTTAACAAAGTTTGGTTGATGCAGAATGAAGGCGCCAGTGAGCTAGGGTGGAGACGTGTTTGGGAATGCGGCAGAACTCCCTGCCTGAAACAGATCTTCTCACCACTCCCTGCCTTCTTTCTGGACTTAAAGTCCTTTATTGGAGGGAGCAAAGAGGGGAGGGGGCCCAGTGGATATTGGTGCTTTGGTGGGGAGGGCGTGTGATGTGATAATATGCATCTGGAGAGGTGGGAACCTACCCACGTGAGTCAGCTACCTTTTCCTAAAGCAGTCTTCCTTCTTTAAACCTTTCAGGAAGAGGTTATTTCATAGTTAAAAGAAGTAAATAAAGTACTATATGAGCTTAGTGTTGTTGAATTATTTTTATTGATAAGCACTTGTATTAATGCTTTAGCACTTACCGACTTTGGACACATTTTGTTTTGTCTGACTCACATTATTTGGAGTGTTTGCCAGAACTCCCTGGTAATTACTAGGTCTTAGAAAGCCTTCCTTTCCCTCCCCACCCCCCCCACTTTTTTTTTTTTATTAAAAATTGGCCTTGTGGCTCTTTTTGTCCATTAAGTCTACAGTTTCTAAATCTTCTGTTTCAAGAAGTAAAAATATAAAAAAAACAAAAAACCTTTAAGCATTGATCTTAATAAGCTCTGTCAGAGGCATCAGGCCTTGAGACTGAGGCCCAGGAGGAATTCGCTCCCCAACCCTGCGCCCCCACCTTCGCCAGAGGGGTAAGCCAGAGCGCTCACTGTCCAGACCACCATCGTGCTGGAAAGGAAACGTGGATTCTGGGCACAGGCCCAGCCCATTCCAGACTCATCTTCAGTCCTCACTTCCTTGTGGCTTCATGATTTTCAGGCAGAGATTTCTGAAAGACAACAAGCACTGTCATGGGTGAGTGGCCTGTAAGGAAGGCCCAGCTTCCTTCCCCACCCCCATGCCAAATTCCCTGGCAGTGTGCAGTTGGGGAAGAAGCTTTTCCACTAGACTTTTCTATGCGTTGAGTAAGAAACTGAGTGATTTGTATTCTCACCCCCATCGAGGCCTTCTTCTGGCCATCAGCCTTGGATGGCTTGCAGAGCCTGAGAGGAACAGTGAGTCCATCAGGGAAGCGTGTGGCTGCTTAGGACAGTTGCCTTACTGAGTGGCTGTCTTGGCAGGGGAATTCAGGTTTCAGATTCCTTGTTCCGCTCCTCCAAAACCATGAGGTGTAGGTTTAGTTACGCTCTGAGCTCTCTGTGCAGCTCAATTTCACGGCTTAATACATTTCTGATCTTAGATAAAACTTTGAATCTGTGCTTCCTAAAGACTATGGATCATTAACTAAATCTTGTTTAAGGTGCATTGTAAGGATAATTTGCACATTTTAAATTATTTCTACCTCTCAGATTAAAAGTTTTGTTTTTTTTTCTTCAAAATATGAGTTCTCAAATATCAGCCTTTTCCCAGTGCTCAATGTTGTTTAAAGAGTATACGAGCACATGTAAATTTAAAATGTAACTGTTTTAAAACTTTCTTTTTCTTTGCCGTTCTACTCAAGGTCATGCCAGTAACTTTTCTGCTGCTGATATAAGACTAGAACTATTCAGATACAGTAACTCAAGCCAGAAAACACTGTTTCCACAACAGTTTTCCATTAGGAAAACTCAAACTAGCTTTCAGTTAGAAGTACTTCTTAGTCTAAAAATTAATGATAAATTAGAGCTATATATTCTTTATTAATATGGAGAATTATATCAAGAAAAATTAGCTCAAGTATTAAATTTACATTAATAAGTGAATATGCTACCAGATTAAAATCAAAATGTGTTTTGAGTCTACACAGAGAATAAGTTGAATAATATTTGCAAAGTGCTTTTTAAAAAATTATCATTTAACTATTTTTTTTACAAAGTTGATATACTTTTTTTTTTTTTAAAGATTTATTTTTTTGTGCATACAGAACTGGGGTACAGGCCAGAGGCTCAGGGGCGGTGAGAGGCTTCACCAGAGACAGAGTGGGGAGCAGAACAGGCAGATCGACGAAGTACACTGCTGAGGGGAGCAGCGGGCGGGTCAGGAGAGGTCTGCCACGCCATGTGGTCACCTCTGGGGCAGGCGGGAATTGAACTCATGTGGAAGCGGCTTTAGATTCTCAGTGCTGTGCTTTAACCCGCTGCGCCACCAGGGAGGGCCTCATTTAACTATTTTAAAACACTTGTGGGAAAAGTTTGTCTTTGCTATGACTAGGCAAGTTTACTGTTTGAATATTAACTCTCCAGTAACTTTAGAACTATGAAGAACATTGAGGGGCCTCCCTGGTGGCACAAGGGGTTAAGTCACAGCATTATGAAGCTCTCAGTAGCTATTGCACCAGTTCGATCCCCAGTCAGGCAGGTGACCCACATGGTGCAGCAGACCTCTCCTGTCTCACTCTCTGCTCCCCTCAGCAGTGTACTTCACCTGTTCTGCTCCCCATTCTGTCTGTGGTGAATCCTCTTACCATAACCTCCCCCCCACACACACACACCCCTCTGGCCTGCACCCCAGTCCTTGTATGCATAAATAAATAAATCTTTTTTTAAAAAGCCATTGACACTTCCCCCAACATTCTCTTTGAGTCGAACGTGCCTCTCCAGGAATAGATATTCTCTGCAGGTGGAGATTTCCTGATTCTTATTTTCAAAGGAAAACTGTCTCAGCAAAAGCCTTGTTATTTTCAGCACAATACTGTTTTGCCAAATGTTTTTTGTGAAATTTTGTGAAAAGTTTACATAACCATAAAAATGCTGGTGTGGGTTTAGGACGGTTAAGATTTTTCTCAGCCACTCGGCGTGGGGTGCTGCTCTAACACTGGGTATGACAGGTGCACATATCACCCGTGCTCGGCTGCTATGGGACTCTGGGAACTTGTGTGGGTGCAGCCTCAGGTCCCCCGTGGCTTATCAGTGGGGTGATGACATCCATGACAGTGGTTGATGCAGGGAAAGAGCACTGAGGTGGGTCACCTGAGCCGCTCACAGAGCTCACCTGTCTCCACCTGTGTGGTGTCTGGGTTCAGTTACTTTCTCCTGCGGGCCAGAGTTACCTCATGGCTAAAACTCAGAGGTTAAGCAACTGAGTCTCTGAAGTCCCATCGCATTTTGTCATTGTGTCTTCCTGAGCCCGTGCTAAACTGTGTCCAGCAAGCAGCTCACCCATAAATATGCAGCAGCTACTCACATCTCAGTGCAGAAGGCCTACTCTACCAATACTGGTTCCGAGTGTCATCCTAAGAGCATTCTTTATTAAATGACTGTTTTCTTTCTTTCTTCTTTTTTTTTGGAAATTTTTTTTTATGACAGTTTATTTTTACATCATTTTGTACATTTTTTTTCCATCTCAATTGTAATCCCTGCAGGTTTCCCATCACCAAGTCACCCATGTGCCATCACCATAATCCCATGCACTTCCCTCCCTAACCCCCCGCCCCCCCCCTTTTTTTCCCTTTCCCCTCTCCTCCCCCTCAAAATGTCTCTGGTATGTGGTTTTCATTATTTTTGTTATTTTCTCGCCTGGTCCATTTTACTCCTGCTATGAGTGAAACCATCCGGTATTTTTCTTTCTCTTTCTGGCTTATCTCACTAAGCATGATCTTTTCCAGCTCCATCCAAGTTGCTGCAAAAGACATGTGTTTCTCTTTTTTTGGCTGCTGAGTAATATTCCATTGTATATATGTACCACATCTTTTTAATCCAGTCATCTACTTTTGGGCATTTGGGCTGCTTCCATGTTTTTCCAATTGCAAATAAAGCAGCAGTAAACATGGGGGTGCAGGTGTTTTCTTTATTTTTAAAAGATCTTCAATTCTCTAAGTTGTTAGACATAAGTGATAAGTAATAGATACATAATGACAGATAAGATTAAATCCACAAAACTTTCTTCTGCGATTCAGTTAAAGATGTTGTAATGCTGCTGTTGTGTGTACTGTGCATTGTAGTGTGTGTGTTAAGCTTAAAGATGTATGTCCTTGTGTGCTGTTCGAGAAACAAAATGCATGTCCTTTGTGTTTATTTTTTTCCTCCCAGAGAGATGATGAGGATGGTGATGATATGGATAGTTATCAGGTATTACTGCTGCTGTCCGTCTGTGGCATGGGGCACAACTATTGCTAATTGCCAGCATCCGCCAGGCAGAGGCCCAGAGGAGGGGAGAGCTGTAGTGCAAGAATATGCACTTTTTCACTCGCTTGGGATTTGCTGGAATCATAATCAGAGAGGCAATGCTATTTTACGGGTCTCTCTGCTGGTTCAAAACTTATGACCAAATACAGCATTTCTGCTATGCCCTCTTGAATTACCAGCTTGTAAGGCCTTTCTAAGCAAAAGTATTATCACTGTATTAAGTATTGGTGATTACCTATCCCTAATCTGTGATTAGATGCTTTTCTTCCCTGTGCAAAACTGCTCTCAGCGCCTCACATCTAAGAGACCAGGATTTTTCTAATAGGCCATTTTACTTTATGGCTTATGCTGGACAGGAAAATCAAAGACACCTTATGCCCATGGTTTTATTTAGCTAGTTTTCTTCTCTCATAGAAGACCAAGCTTAGTTATCCATAACTTAGAGGACTTAAACCTCAGCCTGTTCTTTTTGGAAATGTAAAACGGTAGAAAGGCAAACATGTTGTGTTCACTGAGTCTCACTGACCGACTGCTACTATGGAATGTGGCGTCACAGTAAAGCAGGTGACCACCCAGCACGTAGCTCCCTGAGTCTGGCTCCCAGTCTTTGAGCTTAAAGCTCTCTGTCTAGTTGTGCCTCCCTGTGTGCACAGCGTGGGTCCGTTACAGGTAAAGCCTCGGGCTCCACAGGTGTGTGCACTTGCTGTCTCTTCTTGAAGGTCAGAGTAGAATTGGGCCAGTCAGAAATCACTGGACCAGAACTGGTGGATTGCTCTCTCTCCAACTAGGAAGCAAGCAAGCAAACAAAACAAACTTGGGGGGAATACCAGTATCCCCTTGGATCTCAGCAGTGCCATGAACTAACGTTCCTCGGCTGTCTGTGTGCTTCCTGCCGCGTGTTCAGGGTGAAGGCCAGAGGCTGCTTCCGGGAGCCCCTAAAGCATGGCTGGCTGCATGTGGGGTTTTGCATGGGAGATTTCCCGTTAGCTTCACGCTAGTGGTTGAAGGTGAACTCTTTGCAGCAAGTTGGGGAGGTTCTCTGCAGAGACCTATTTGCATTTCAGAAAACACTTGTTATCAGGCCATTGAACTATCAACAATGAAAGTGCCTGCTGTTTTCCATTCCACTCCTTGTACATGGTTTGGGCTCCGTCCATGGTGTCCTACTGCTTGGAAATCCAAATCCTCTATTGAATATTACAGTTTAAACACATACACACACACACACATACACGTACGCCATATAAGAATCAACCAGCAGCTGGTATCATGTGGGCTTCTCTTGCTTTTAAGTATGATTTTCTTTTTTGGAAATTCAGAGACTCTGGTTTCTGAGTATCAGGGTCCTCCATAAGCATGCAATGTTACTGAAGCCTCTCTGCTTTCTCGCATAATTAATCACCCAGCAATGTTCAATGGCCTTTCCTAATGAAAAGTTTCCTAATCAAGTTAAGCCTCTCTTTTTTAAAAAAAGGAATAGATGTCGATGTACTCTACAATAAAATGTTTTCCTGCCCTGCCAGGAAGAAGATTTAAACTGTGTAAGAGAGAGATGGTCTGATGCCCTCATTAAACGACGAGAATACTTAGATGAGCAGATTAAAAAAGTCAGCAATAAAAAAGGTACGTGAGACTCGGCTCTTCCCTGCAGGAAGCTTTTGCTCTTTGAGACAATGCTAGGAGATTTTCTTCCCTTGATCAGACAACAGTTAGTTTTCTGACCGTGTAATCATTACAGATATTGATGGATCCTATTGTACCATGTTGTCTTAAGGAGCCTCTGAATTTAAAAGGAACACATTTTCATAAAACTCTGATGAACTGACATTAAACATCTAACTCAAATACCACTGTGGTGAATGGAGGTGTGCTCAGAACCGAGAACAGTCAGCAGCTAAAGGGTCACCCAAAACCATAGCATATGGAGGTCAGCGCACAGCTTCTCCTAGGGGTGGTCAGGCGCTTAGCTGATTCAGGGTGATCTGAAGCTGGCTGGCCGCCCCCTTGTTTCCCCAGCTCTGGCTTGCTTATGCCGGCACCGGCCACTCAGATTCCAGAGTAGAAGTATGCACTCAGCCCCCTGGACCCTCCTGCCAACATTGGGACCCCTCATTGCAGTGAATTCTGCCCCATAGGACATATTATGAATGCTAATCTGTGCTATGTAAAAATCCCCCCCAGTAAAACATCTTGGTGTGAGTTGGGATCTGATCAGCCTGCTAATGACAGTTCATCTTGGTCATACCTGGGTTGCTCCGGAGTTGAACTGTGGGTGAGAGGATTTCAAAGTCTGTCAAGTGAAATCCCTTTCACAGTGAGCATGAGGGAAAATCAGGTTAGTTTATGAGGGTTTTGAATCTGCTGCCTTCATAAAGTGGTGTTTGTCACACCCATTATTTCATTCGCCCCTTCCAGCAAGTATGTGAATAGGGCGACTTGGAGTATACCTGCTTGATAGGTTAGGAAGTTAGCAGCATCTGTCCAAACTTCCCCCAAATTGCAGAGTGAGGGGTGTGGTCCAGCCTCTTCTGCTCTTTCTGTCTGTCCGTCCATGGGGCTGGCAGCCAGACTCCCTTTTTGGAACATAGTGGGTGTCATTTAATCCACTGGTGACTGTCACTCAGTAAAGATCCGGGCCCTTCCTGGTGGCGCAACTGATTAGGACGTAGCACAGCAAGCTAGCAGCAGGCGCTTCAGTGTGAGTTCAATCCCCGGCCCCGGAAGTGACCCACATGGCACTGCAGACCTCTCCTGATGCGCCCGCTGCTCCCCTCAGCAGGGTATTTCGCCCATCTGCCTGTTCTGCTCCCCACTCTGTCTCTAGTGAAGCCTCTCACCTCCCCTGCACCTCTGGCCTGTGCCCCAGTCTGTATGCATAAATAAATAAATCTTAAAGAGAAAAAGATCCATTGATTTTAAACTCAGAGACTACTTTCTCCCTTCGTGCGCTCATTCCCTCGCTCTGACACACAGAGAAGTCAGAGGACGACTTGGAGCGGGAAGCCCGGCTGGTGGAGCAGTGGGTCGGGCTGACGGAAGAAAGGAACGCAGTACTGGTGCCTGCACCCGGCAGCGGGATTCCCGGGGCGCCTGCAGACTGGTGAGTCCTTCTCACAGGCCTCGGAGGCTGGTGTGGGTGAGTGGCAGGAGTCATACCAGTGACTTTGCCAGTAAATGTCAGCTGGCACAGGGTGCCAGGGAAGGGCCACCCTCTGCACTGCTGCTTGCCTGGCCTTTTCCCCTGTCTCGTGGAAAGCCGGAGAGCATGGCCGGGAGTTCAGTACCTCCCTCCGCAGCTCCTTGGCATAAGCAAATTGGACATGGCTTCCTGATCTTCAAAAATCTCTGATTTGGACTCAAAAGAAGGACATTCTCAAAGTGTCCTTGAAAGGGCAATCGCTCTTATTCTCCCCAGTGCCTGTTTGTTTAGGGCACTGCCATCGAGAAGTACTTGGCAGTACATGGTCTCGGCCCAGTGTGGACTCAATAACAAGCCGCATGGCAGCCCAGTGCTGGAGTCAGCTTCCAGCTGCAACTCAATGACCCGTTGCCTGAACTTATTGGGGGCAAGTTTTGACTTTTTCCTGATCTTTGTTCGGTTTCCTGGTATTCCTCCCATAAGTGAAATCACTTGATAGTTGTTTGTTTTCTCTCATTTCACCTAGTGTACTCCCTTTCCAGCACCATCCGTGTTGTTGCAAATGGCATGGGTTTATCCTTTTTGATCTTCCTAATCTCTTCATGGAGCTACCTTTTTGGTACTGTTTAAGGATTTGTCCATAGTGGCCATTCATTAAATGGTAATTCCTGCTACTGCTTCTTCCCCACTCTTTTTACATCATTGTTCTTTTTAGGGCAACATTTGATTTCTCCCTCTGGTATAATCCCCGTAAAATTCCCACCACCAAATCACCCATGAATGGTCACCACAGTCTCTTGTACTCTTCCCACCCCTGTTTCACCCGTTCTCCCCCCTCCCTCACCGCCGGATGCCTCAGGTCTGTGCTTTGCCTGCACGTTTGGTCTTTTTCCTGGTTCTTTGTTCAGTTTCCCTGGATTTCCCCTATAAGGGGACAACCTCAATATACGTCCCCTTATTTCCCCTATAATACAGGGACACCATTCAATATTTTCCTTTTCCCCTCTGACTTCTTTCATTTAGCATAATCCCGTCCGGCTCTATCCAGTTGCCACAAAGGCATGAGTTTATCTTTTTGGATCACCAAGTAGTATTCCGTTGTGTATGTAGACCACCTCTTCTTGATCCACTCATCTGCTGCTGTTCTCAATACAGCTGAGGCCTTTCACAGACATCGGAGTCCTTTTGAATACAGACTGTATATGTCCCGATGGCCTCTTTAGGTGAGACCATAAGTGATGTTACTTGTGTCCATAATGAAAAGTGAAAGTGTAATCCCTTCCATGGTATCACGAACCCAGAACATCGGAATTTGCAGGCACATCGTTGGGGAGCTGCTGGTCCTTCCTGTGACACAGGACCCCACAGGCCACGTGCAGTACCTCTACCAGCCTCTCAGTACAGATGGTCAACTTGTTCTAGGCTTGTTCTGCTCCAAGTTCTCTCTAATGCAGGGGTTCAGGGGGAAATTCCCTCACTGCTCTTTCACTCTTCTTGCTCTGGTTGAGCAAACAAGTGAATATCACACAGATTAGCAGGAGAAAAATATCAAAGTTAATTACAGAGTGTGGAGAATGTACATGACTGTAAATCCTTGAGTAATGGGACAAACTGAGTGGTTAGATCCTGAGTTAAGGAATGGGTAGGGGGCCTGGAGAGGAAGGTGAGCTCACAATACGAGGAGAAGGTGACTTCCTAGGACAAAACCACTTGTTCTGGAACTTTGCCTGTCTTCACATGGGTGTCCCTGATAAAAATGTTATTTCTGGAGCTGCCCACGAATCTGAGGAAGCTTCATTCTTTAAGGTTCTGGTAGACAGTTTCTCCCAAGACTTTCAAAGCCTTCATGGGCCTTAACTTCTTGTGCCAAGGTCACACTTACTAGAAAAATCCTGCTCAGGAGAAGTTTATGTGAACTTTTTTATGGAAGGCCTGTGCTACACAGTTCTCCCTCCTGTCATTAGAGGAGTGTTTCAAACCAGATCACTTTGAATATTTATAAAAGTCAGAGTCCTCGACCCCATTCCCAGTTACTCTGACTCAGAAGAGTGAGGATGAGCCCAGGCTTTTCATGGGTGATTCTAATGCCGATGAGCCATTTCTTTTCTTTTTTAAAAGAATTATTTATTTATGCACACAAGAGCTGGGGAACAGGCCAGAGGCTCAGGGGCAGTGAGAGGCTTCAGCAGAGACAGAGTGGGGAGCAGAGCAGGCAGATCGACAAAGTACACTGCTGAGGGGAGCAGCAGGCAAGACAGGAGATATCTGCTGTGCCATGTGGGTCAGCTCCCTGGCTGGGGATTGAACTTGGGCTGCATTGTCTGCAAATAGCTTCATAATGCTGCTCTTTAACTCCTTGCACCACCAGGGAGGGAGATGGGCCATTTCTGATAAAACATTATTTGGGATTTTTTCTGCAAGTAGCATATCTCTTTTCAGGTGTCTTTCAGTCTTTCCTCCTTGAAGCTCTTTAAATATCTGCCTTACTGTTTACTTTTTCTAGGTTCTGATCCTGTTCCCATGCTCTCAGCATCCCCTTCTATTTTCTTCATCATGAAAATTATTGTTAGAAAGAAATCCAATAGCCTTTTCTTCAAGTAATTAAATATATAGTTCATTTAGCAGGCAGTTCTTTCTATAAGTCACAGAATTCCTGTAATTGGTTTTAACAGGGATATCAAGAGATGTGACATGTTTCATTCATCGACCCTGTGCTTTCATCTGCTTCCATGTCTCTCTGGTGGTTGCTCATCTAACAAAGTATAAAATACATATCCTGTCGTGATTTAACTTCTAACAAGATGTAAAGTCTATATTCTGTTGTGACTAAACTTTGTTTAAACTCAGGATCCCACCAGCTGGAATGGAGACCCACATACCAGTTCTGTTCCTTGATTTGAATGGTAAGCAGATCCCGTACACCCCACGGGCCTCACATTTAATTATGACTTGTAATCTATGCAGCCCCACTTTATTTTGACCCTTTAATCACTTTCCTCATCTTTCATACACCATGTCAAGGTGACAGCTTAAGTCCAGATATGTATAGCCATGACATGTAGAATCACTAGGGGGGGAGATGTGGATATTTTAAAAAAGAGAACCCATGGGAGATTGAGAACTACATGCAAAAATATGAAAACAAGTATTGCTCTGAAATGTTAACAGACATCGAAATGACATGAGAAAGTAATTGTCCTCAGAGATTTGGAATGTTTTTGCTTTTCAAGGATCTAGCTAGGAAGCTGTATTTCTAATGAGGGTCCTTTGCTTTCCCACCCTCCATAGTTTGGGTGCCAGAAGATGGTAAAACCGAGACCCTGTTAAGGGCTGCCCTTTCCCATCACAGTCAGACCCAGCCTGCTTTTGTATGTGTTCTAGCAGCAAAATCCATTTTCCAAATGAAGCCTTTGATAGAACCCCTTATATAGATCACAAAGCAGAGTTGCTGAGTGTGGAGAAAGTCAGGATCTGGCACGCCCTTCTTCAGGGCCCTCCAGCCCTCAAAATCGAGTCCGCAATCCCTTTCTGGAGGGAAGACAGCACTGGATGGATAGAAGGCACAGGGAGGTTACATCTGTCACTTCATATCAAGATTCCTTTTTTTAAAGATTTTATTTACTTATTTTTGCATAGAAGAACTGGGGTATGGGCCAGAGATGGGAGCTGAAAGAATTCACCAGAGACAGAGTGGGGAGCAGAACAGGTGGATCTACTGAAATACACTGCTGAATGGAGCAGTGGGTAAGACAGGACAGGTCTGCTGCACCGTGTGGGTCGTCAGCTCCTTGGCTGGCGATCCAACTCAGGCTTTGACAGTGATAGTGTTGAGGCTTAACCACTAAGCCTCCAGGGAGGCACGAAGAATCTTTTTTAAGTCTTGAAGTCGGCTGCATGCCTCATGACGTAGTGAGTCCCCGCTTTTGGAGGTATACAAGGAAAGGCTGGGTGACTACTTAAAAGAGATTTGTGAAAGGTGAATCCCACTTTGGGTAGGATAGGAAAGCTGATCTTCAGATTTCACCCTAAGTTGCTAACTACTCAAATCGCTAATGTTAAGTTTTTTAAGTAGGACAAACCGAACACTAGTTTACAGATGCTGTTGACTTCAGAAAGCATCAGACTTCTAAGGTGTGTTTCTGTGGTGGAAACATTTCCTCCTAGGACTACCTGTAGACTGTTCAGTCCATTTTACCTGAAACTCACAAAGGCACCCTCTTGCCTCCCATCATTATTTCTGGAAAGAATAAAAGTGAATGAGGGGCCCTCCCTGGTGGCACAGCGGGTTAAAGCACAGCACTGAGAAGCTGAAGCCACTTCTGCATGAGTTCAATTCCCGCCTGCCCCGGAGGTGACCACATGGCGTGGCAGACCTCTCCTGACCCGCCCGCTGCTCCCCTCAGCAGTGTACTTCGTAGATCTGCCTGTTCTGCTCCCCACTCTGTCTCTGGTGAAGCCTCTCGCCACCCCTGAGCCTCTGGCCTGTACCCCAGTTCTGTATGAACAAATGAATAAATTAAAATATATATTAAAAAAAAAAAGTGAATGAGGATTGGAGTCTCCCTGTCAACTGCAAGCGAAAAGCAAAAAACAAAACGCTGTTCCCTGTAAACTTCATCTGTTCAAAGCATGTGTTAAATTTTTCTGAGCTTGCTTAAAAACTGACTTTTCCCCTTTTTGTTTCTGTGCCCTGGACTCGAGTAGCGGATGACCTCAGTGCTAATGAGCAGCTCGTGGGCCCCCACGCGTCAGGTGTGAACTCCATCCTGCCCAAGGAGCATGGCAGCCAGTTCTTCTACCTGCCCATTATAAAGCACAGTGACGAGGAGGTCAGTGACGCTAAGTTACTCCTCGGGGCTGCAGACTAGTGTGTGTGCCCAGCACCAATCTACTTGCTGAACTGTAGCGGTCCACTTGGGGGAAGAGGGCGGAGGGGTTTAAAAAGTAGGGTGTGTGTTGTCTTTCAAAAAAGACAAAGACAAACACGTGTGAGCCGGTAGAATTGCATTTCTTTTCTTTCATGGATGCGGAATGACTTCACCTGATGCACCTGTTGCTCTCTCCATCCTCCCCTTACCCCCAGGTCTCTGCCACCGCCTCTTGGGACTCCTCGGTGCATGATTCTGTTCACTTGAATAGAGTGACCCCCCAGAATGAAAGGATTTACCTGATAGTGAAGACCACGGTCCAGCTCAGCCACCCGGCCGCTATGGAGTTAGTATTACGAAAGCGGATTGCAGCCAATATTTACAACAAACAGGTAGTAACAGGGCCCGGTTCTACCACTGAATATTGCTCGCAGGGGTTTTCCTTCCTACACAGGGTAGCGTGTTCTGGTGTTGAGACAGTGGGTGTGCAGATGTCCCACAGTTCCGATCTCGTTCTTGGTTGTCCACAACGCTGGGCTCTGAGCACGGAGCGGTGAATGCCATCCACCTAGGGCCTTTTCCCATGACCTTATTGAGACCCATTCTCCAAGGGGGTGATGGAACTATATGACTTGTCCTTCACTGTTTGGAAAAGATTAAATGTCACTTCCAAGGGGTTAGTGACAAAATCACAGCAAAAGGCAGGCCCCAGGTAAAACCCTATTCTGTGACTTCACCAGATTTCATCCATCTCAATAGTACTGTTGCAAAACTGACCCTTTTTAGTTCGTTTCTGATAGTGTCAGGAGAGACTGAGAGAACCCTGGTGAGGTGGAAGGAACGCAGCAATGGGAGAGAGACACAGCCACAGACTCCCCGAGAGGGCTCCGAAGTCTGTAACTAGCCCAGAGTAACGACTGGAGATTCTTCCCCCTCCAGATTGGAGTCAGGGATTTTTAGTTCAGCTTTTCTGTCTACTGGGTGCTGTGTATCAGAACCGTGAGCAATGCTTTCACAGTTTGTGCGACATTGAACAACTTCCATGCCTCACAGAGCTTCATTTGGTTTTTCTTTCCTTCCAGAGTTTCACCCAGAGCTTGAAAAGGAGAATATCGTTGAAAAATATATTTTATTCCTGTGGTGTCACCTATGAAATAGTATCCAATATACCAAAGGTAAAATATATATATATATAATTGTTTTGCTTAAAAATATTAAAATACAGTGCCCTCCCTGGTGGCGCAGCAGGTTAAAGCACAGGACTAAGAAGCTTAAGCCACTTCTGCATGAGTTCGATTCCCGCCTGCCCCGGAGGTGACCACATGGCGGGCAGACATCTCCTGATCCGCCCGCTGCTCCCCTCAGCAGTGAACTTCGTTGATCTGCCTGTTCTGCCCCCTACTCTGTCTCTGGTGAATCCTCTCACCCTCTGCATCTCTGGCCTGTACCCCAGTTCTATATAATAAATAAATAAAATATTTAAAAAATATATTAAAATACAAATAATGGACAATGGGTTCATTCTCCAAACTTTGAAATAATTTTTCACTACATTTTTTATAATTTTCTTCTTACTGAGGTCGTGTTGGTTGACGTTGTTGTTTGTATCGGGTGTATAAGATCCCGATTCCTGTACGGTAACAGCAGTCCCCTCCACCAAGCGCCCATAGTCCGTTGTTTTACCATGAGTTGGATGGAAATGTTACTTGAAGAAAAGTACTGGCATGTGCTTGCCTCAGCAGCATAGACTCAACTGAGAACAACACAGATAAGTTTCGTTTGGCCTCTGCACAATTTGGGAAACAGTTAATATATATTTTTTTAGGCATTGTCATGAGGTCTGTATAGAAAATGTCTGTAGTTTTTGAGTGTCGGTGTGTTGATGCTGATAATTTTTTTTTTTTTTTTGAGAGTGGGAAAGGAAAATACCTCTCCCTGAGACTATTCTTACTCTTTAAAAAAAAAAATGTGTTTATTTATGCATATAAGAACTGTAACATAGGCCAGAGGTGTGGAGGGTGTGGGGGGAAGGTGAGAGGATTCACCAGAGAGAGTGGGGAGCAGAACAGGCAATCCACTGAAATACACTGCTGAGGGGAGCAGTGGGGGAAACAGGAGAGGTCTGCTGCACCACGTGGGTCAGCTCCTGTCTGGGGATGGAACTCGTGCTGCAGTGGCTGCTGATTGCCTCATTGTGCTGTGCTTTAACCCACTGGGCCTCCAGGGAGGGCCCTATTACTCTATTTAATAAATTATATTAAAGAATTTTGTTAAACTTTAAAAAAAAGAAAAGTAAAGTAGTGGCTTTGCCTCCTCGTCACTATAGGCAACAGAGGAGATTGAGGACAGGGAGACGCTGGCTCTTATGGCGGCGAGAAGTGAAAACGAAGGCACGTCAGATGGGGAGACCTACATCGAGAAGTACACCCGCGGCGTGCTGCAGGTGGAGAACATTCTGAGCCTTGAGCGCCTCAGGCAGGTAAGTAAAGGCAGATCTGGGCGAGCACTGCTCGGCCTTTACCCCACATAGACAAAGCTGAATGTATTTCCAGCCCCCGTGTATTAAGTCTCTCAGAGAAGGAACACTTGGGCAGCAGCTCCTAGACAAAGTAGTTACATGGAGCAGTTAGTGCCAAAAGCTTAAGTGACTTCATTTTATTGAATAATTGAATACCTCCTACTTCCCACAAAAACATTGTGTTTTCATTTAACTTTCATTTGTTTTCATTTAACTTTCAAGGTGAGCCTATGAGGTAAATGAGAGCATTGTAAATGAGGACGTTGGAGCTCACAGAAATTAGCTCTCTGCAGGTGGTTCTGTTACAGGGCACCCCAGTGTGAACTGGGCTGCCTGTGGGTCCTCACCCGCACACTTAAAATTCAGCTGTACTGCAGACACACACAAAAGGGTCGATAATAGGTTTATTTACAAAAGAGGAAAAGAAAAGGAACAACCCAGGGAAAGAGAGAGGGGTACAAAGTAACTGGAATATCTTACTGGCTCCCAGCTTGGAGCTCTGATAACTAACTGAAAGCCCCTAATCATGCAGACCTGATATCCCTTGCGCAAGGAGAGAGTGCTATAGCAAATGGCTCCCTATTTATCCCCCAGAGTCCCAGAATGCCTGCTTAGCTCCGCCCTTGGGTCCTCGCAGTTCTCTCCCTGGTACTGCTGGGAGTTGTAGTTTCCAATCACTGGAGTAGGGGGTAGAGGTAGAGTCCAGAGAGCTGGAGTAGGGGGTGGAGTCCACAAGACTCTGCAGAGTTCCTTTAGGACATCCTTCCCCTTAACAGTTACACAGGTGGGAAGCAGTTTTGAAGTCAGGTGGAAACCCATGTTTAACTACATACTGTTGCTGTCCCCCAAGTTATGAAACAAGGGAAACAAGGTTAACTTCTGCAGCAGCAACAGTACATTCAGGGTAGTAGAGCTCTAAAACAGACGATGTCATTCCAGAAAGGAAGTGGTTGAAGTTGTGGAAAGTAAGTTGTTGGGGTTTTTTTTTGTGTGTGTGTGTGTTTTTTTTTTTTTAAAGATTTAGTTATTTATGCATACAGAGCTGGGGTACAGGCCAGAGGTTTCAGGGGCTGTGAGAGGATTCACTAGAGACAGAGTGGGGAGCAGAATGGGCTGACTGACGAAGTACACTGCTGAGGGGAGCAGCGGGCAGTTCAGGAGAGGTCTGCTGAGCCATGTGGGTCACCTCCAGGGCTGGGATCGAACTCATGCAGAAGTGGCTTTAGCTTCTTAGTGCTGTGCTTTAACCTGCTATGCCCCTAGGAGGGCTGGGAAAGTAAGTTTTAAGAGGACTCAGACAGGCGTCTGTCAGAAAATTTTCTTTGATGGATGTTCCATCTAAATTGCTGTATTGAGTAAAATACAAACAGCATAAAATTCACTGGTTTTGAGATATAGAGTTAGAGGTATTTCTTCTACATTCTCTTTGCCCATTTTATAAAAAGTCCACAATATAAGTGTGCTGTTCAAACCCCTATTGATGAAGAATGTTTTTGATCAATCAAGTAAGTGAAAAGTAAGTACAAGAAGACTCCAGTTTTATAAATATGTATATGTGGGGAGAGGGGTTTGAGTAATCTTTATTTCTAGATCTTCATTTTCCACTCTAAACATATAATTTTTGTCACCTTAGGAAAACAGACAATAAACGTTGTTTTCACATTTCTAGGCTGTTACAGTCAAAGAAGCACTTTCCGCCAAAGCCCGGCACCTGAGACGGAGCCTCAGCACACCGAACGTTCATAACGTGAGCTGCCCGGTGGCGGGGGTCGGGGTGGGGGTGCTGCTGCTGTACCTCAGGGTTTGTAGTGTGGCATGAGGAGGCCCACGGCTGGGATTTACAGGTGGCCCCAAGCTTACCTGTCCTGTGCCAGGAAGCTCAGTGGGCCCCTGGTTCTGTATAAGATGGCAGAATGTCCGGTGGGATTCTAGGAACTGCTCATGAAGTTCTCTTCTGAAATGAAGTTTCTTGAGATCTAAGTTGAAAGTAGTTGGTTTAAGGATGGTGGAGGCAGTTTAAAGTCCTGGCTGCCAGAACGCCTCACTGCTGTTCTTCTATCTGGTTTTTTACCCCCTCTCCACTGCCCTCATGGGTTTGCCTATACCACCCATCAGTGCACTGGGGTGCCAGGGACCCCACACAGATGCTCCCTCAGGCCCCGGGCTTTGCTTTGATCATTATGATTTTCTTCTTTGATCAGTTCATTGAGAAAATCCTCTCGGTCTAGAAAATTCCCTTCTAAATGAGAGGGATACTCTCATGGGGAGAAAGACAGGTTCTACCTGGACCAGCTGCCTCTTTCCAAAAGCATTGAAGTCAGTCGTCCAAGGAAAAGCACACTATTATTTGCCTTCCTACTACATAAAATTTCATGGAAATGTGGTTAACATTTCTAGAACTTGCCTTACAATAGATCACAAAGCTAATAGCTAATTACAATGTATGGACTATTTTAACCCTGATCCCAACAAAATTATCTTATTATCATAAGATAATTTCTTCTGGCCACAATACAATTATTAGAATGAGACTTGTACAAGTTTAAATTGATAAAAGTCTTCTAATTAGATACCAAATAAGAGCTCATAATGAAAGTTAATAAAGAATAATTAAAATGATACTGTAACCCCTATGGGATGCACTTAAACTGGTGCTTACAGTGAAACTTAGTCCTAAGTTCTTTATTCCTTTTTTTTTCCTCAGCAGAATACTACACAGTATAGAAAATGAAAGGGGACGGTCATACAGGCTTCAGCTATCTCTATCTGACAGTATAATTATATAGACATATTTATTATGCATGTATATAACATTTAAGTGTTTAAAATCACTCATCTCTTACAGGTCTCTTCTAGTCGAGCAGACCTTTCTGGCTTTGATGAAGATGATAAGGTGAGTGGCTGTGGGCCTGGCTGGCTTATTAATAATCCAAATCTGGAAAAGGAGGGAATCTTGGTGTTTTTTGTTTGATTGACTTTTTTTTAACATATTAATAGTTTATTTTTACGTCATTCATTTTGTGTCTTTTTCCATCTCGGTTATAATCCCCATGGGCTTCCATCACCAAATCAGTCATGTGCCATCACCATAGTCCAGTGCACTTCCCACCCCGCACCATTTTTGATCCCATTCCCTGCTCTACTCCCATAAAATGTCTCTGGTATACAGTTGTTCATTATTATTATAATTCCCCTTCCCTCTCCAGTCCTTTATGCTCCTGCTATGAGTGAAGCCACCTGGATTTTTCCTTTTCTTTCTGGCTTATTTCACTGATCATGATCCCTTCCAGTTCCATCCAGTTGGTGCAAAAGGCATGGGTTTATCTTTTTGATTGCTGAGTAATATTCCATGTGTATATGTACCAGTCATGTACTTTTAATCCAGTCATCTACTTTTGGGTATTTGGGTTGTTTTCATGTCTTTCCTATTGTAAATAAAGTAGCAATAAATGTGACGGTGCAGGTTTCTTTTTGAATTAGTGTTTATCTTGGTGTTTTTTAATCTCTGGATTTCATTTTTACCCATTAACATTAGAGGCATCTCAAACCTCTGCTTCATTTCCCACTTGAGAGGGACCTCATTTCCTGTCACCACATTTTTATCTTCTAGGGTTGGCTAGAGAACCGGCTGGACATGTCTGACTACAGCTGCAGCTACCAAGACGTAGCCTGTTATGGAACTTTACCCAGGGATTCACCTCGAAGGAGTAAAGAAGGGAGTGGTGAGATTGCTTTCCTGTGCTTTTTTTCTTTATAATTTCTTAGGAAAAGCGTGGGGTGATGGGCAGAGGAAAGCTTTTATAGATGGCATTTAATAAATAGGAGATGAAATACAGTTTGCCTCGATGATTCCCAAATCATCTTCTTGAAAGGACCTATCAAGTTCACGTATTTTATTTCCTTTTGCTTTGTACCCATTATATTATCCAGAAAAAACAACTTCTTATGTTACAGCTTAAAAATTTCAAATCATTTTGTCTGAGTTTGAACTCAGTTTTGAGACACACCAAATCTTACTAGATTATGGGTTGACTTCATTCTTTAACCAAAAGAATAAGCATCTCTGCTGTGTTTTTATACCATGTTAAAGGACTTTTTTAGGAGGGAGTTTATTGATGCCTAAAACCATTTCAAATATAATACCAAAAAATAAGTTTGAGGGCCCTCTCTGGTGGCACAGGGGTTAAAGACAGCACTATCGAGCTATCCCATCCATTGCAGTATGAGTTCAGTCCCCGGCCAAGGTCAGTCCCCAGCCAGCCAGAAAGCTGACCCACATGGTGCAGCAGACCTGTCTGGCTCACTGCCCCGCTCAGCGGTGTATGTCAGTACATTTTCCTGTTCTGCTCCCACTCTGTCTATGGTCAATTTTTTCACCTCCACCACTGCACTGGCCTACACCCTAGATCTTCTATGCATAAATAAATAAATCTTTAAAAAGAAGTAAGTTGGATCGGTGACTGCATTATTATCTAAACAGATCCCTGAAGGGAACAAATTTTTTGAATGTGGCAAATTGATTGACTATGTTGGTCACCTCTGTTACCTCACACCTTATGTTCCACCTCGTAAGGGCTGTTCCTCTAGTGAATTGGAAAGAAAATGCAGGAGGAAAGAGGTTAAAATGAGTAAAACCATATAAGCCAAGGCAGCTTGAGGGAAAAGGTGCCTGCAAGAAAGTGTATCCCATTCATTCATGGCTTCTACCTAGTTATATGGCATGAAAGATGAAAAAAAGCTTAATGCTGGGCCCTCCCTGGTGGCGCAGCGGGTTAAAGCACAGCACTGAGAAGCTAAAGCCACTTCTGCGTGAGTTCAATTCCCGCCTGCCCAAGAGGTGACCACATGGCGTGGCAGACCTCTCCTGACCCTCCCGCTGCTCCCCTCAGCAGTGTACTTCATCGATCTGCCTGTTCTGCTCCCCACTGTCTCTGGTGAAGCCTCTCGCCACCCCTGAGCCTCTGGCCCGTACCCCAGTTCTGTATGCACAAATAAATAAATCTTTAAGGAAAAAAAAAAAAGCTTAATGCTGAAGATCTCAAAGCTGAGCTGTAGCAGTGAATACCAAAAGTGAGATGTTGGGCTCCCTCTGATGACGCAGAAGGTTAAAGCACAGCACTATGAAGCAATCTGCAGCCCATGCTGCACGAGTTTGATTCCCGGCCAGGGACCTGACCCACATGGCATGGCAGACCTCTCCTGACCCACCCACTGCTCCCCTCAGCAGTGTACTTCATCAATCTACCTGTTCTGCTCCCCACTCTTTCTCGGAGGAATCCTCTCACCCACCACATCTCTGGCCTTTTCCCCAGTTCTGTAGCATAAATAAATAAATCCTTAAAAAAAAAGAGATGTTAAATAAAAATATACCCAACACCTATACAGATTAATGAAGCTTCTTGAGAGCTCAGAGAAATGAAAACTCAGCATGAGTTGAATTTGGTCCAGCGAAATGAGTCTATGCACTCAAACTGGATCTTGAAAAGGGTGGGAAACTTAGTGTCTGGTTGTTTTGATGCCGTCAGCTCTTTCCACTGTAGCTGCGTCTCTGTCCCTGCCTACCTCTGTGTTAGTGTAGAGCCAGTCTAGGCTTTGCCCGCTAACCCAGCATCCTTTGTCTTCCTCAGGTTGCACATCCGAGAACCCTCATGCCTTAACAGTCAGCCCTTTTAAAGCATTCTCTCCTCAGCCGCCAAAGTTTTTCAAACCCTTAATGCCTGTAAAAGAAGAACATAAGAAAAGAACAGCTCTGGAAGCAAGGCCCTTGCTAAGCCAGGAGGTAAGTGCTGCATTGTCTGACTAGATACAGCAGAGGGAAGGGTGTTGCCTGGGGACAGTGACGATGTGCGTTAGCAAGGAGGACCCTGCATGCCGACATGTGTGGGTTCCCGCTCCCTGGATCCTGTCCTGGCTCCTTCTTTCTCAAGCACAATGTCTCATGATCGGAATTTTTGTCATTGCTGTTTTCTCTGTGTGTATGGCTTTCTAAGTACTTTTTTAGCTTTCAAATAAGACAGATGCTCCGGAAGTGTTTTAAAAATATTAAAGGCTTTTTGTTTGTTTGTTTGTTTGTTTGTTTGATAAAACCAATGAGCCTTTTGCTGTGGTGTCCGTCGAGTCTTGTCAGATTTCGTCAGTCCTGTAACTCCACCCGCGAGATAGGTTGCCGCACTCCTCCCGTGTGATGAAAGTGTTCGCGTTGCCTCTCTAACTTGCACGTACTTAACATGTATCCCGGCGGCCGTCGTCCCCTGTGTGTGATGCACCTGTGTGTCTTAACCTTTGCAGAGCATGCCTCCACCTCAGGCACGTAACCCTGGCTGCACTGTGCCCTCAGGAAGCAATGGCAGCTGCATGCCCGTAGAACACAGTAGCAAACGTGAGAAGAAGATTGTAAGTTCTGGATCCATTTCTGTCATATTGCCTGGTGGTGGGTGAAAGGCCCTTTCAACAATCATCCAAATGCGTTAGAAGAAACTAAGTTCTATGAGTCTTGGCCTTTTTTTAACAACAGAGTGACCAGTGATAATGACATTTGCATGAAGGTGGCCATGCTGTGTCATTTCTCCAGTGTGTTCATTCTGTTTTATTTTCATTTATTTGATTGTATTTCTTTATACAGCTTGCTCAGAAAAGGGGGGGAGGCACCTTTAATGTTTCAGGTCTTTAGAAAAAGTGTAACAAAGATATCACTTTAACTAATAATGAATCTTTCCACTGTGTGTCTGTGCATATTGCCCAGATTCTGAGGTTAATCTTCCTAGAAGAATTGCACTTACTTGGAGTAAGTAATCACGCATTAGCTGTGGCTTTGTTTGAAAGCTTTTTTTCATGTTGCCTGATGCTGTTGCCAGGGTTAGTCTGTAACTTGGAACCGCACGACCCCCTTGATCCTTCTGATCTCTGTGTCCCTCACAGGTGGCCATTTTGCTGGCAAAATCGATTCCCACTCCCTTAGTCCAGTCTTGCGTTAGGTATGGCTTATCTATAATAATACCACAGATAGGTTGAAACTGTAAAACCTCATTCCCCACTGCTCAGTTTTCAAATTATAAATTTGAGAAATACTGCCTCCCCGGTTCCCTGCAGGTTAAGTCTCAGCGCTATCACTATCGAGGCCTATGTTCAATCCCTGGCCAGGGAGCTGACCCACCTATGGTACAGTAGACCTCACCTGTCTGGCCCGCTGCTCCCCCTTAATTATTATTCAGCAAATCTGTAATAATCTGTTCTTCCCTGTCTCTTGAGAATCCTCTCCCCACCACCAGCATCTCGGACCTATACGTCAGTTCTTCTACACACACAGACATACACATACAAATAATATAAAGTTGAGAAATATTTTCTAAAATGCTACCTACCTGGGCCCTCCCTGGTGGTGCAATCGGTTGGAGCATAGCATTGGGAAACTGGCCATGGCTGCTTCAGCCCAAGTTCAATCCCCGGCACCAGAGGTGACCCATATGGTGTGGCAGGTACTGTCTCTCCCACTGCTCCCCTGAGCTCCCCACTCTTGTCTCTGGTGAAGTCTCTCACCACCCCTACACCTCTGGCCTGTACCCCAGTTCTGTATGGCACTTTAGAGTATAAATGATAACTTGATATTCTGTAAAAAAAAAAAAAAAAAAAAAACACCTGTATGTTCTCAGGTCTAGAAGGATTTTTTTTTTTTTCTTTTTAATGTCTCAGCTTTCACTCTCCTGTGGCTTCCTAGGCAAGTAATACAGTTTGGAGAAAGGGGGCAGCTTGTGCCTACGTCTGCATGCAGTCTGCTGTGGGGACAGAGTGTGGGGCATTCCTTTCCCCACTACTCCATGTCACTTCCGTTCCAAAAGCTTATGAGTGTGAGAGCTCTAATAATTCTAGAATATGCTGCTAATACCCACTGTATGCAACTAACTAGAACTTAATTCGAATATGCAGTTGAGAACTCACACATGCCTGGAGTACTGTTGATCTTTTGAGTTGTTCCAAAAAATATTCATTAATCAGTATATCCATAGTCTATGACATAACCCCAAAAGACAGATAGATGTGTTTATACTGTATAGAAGGGGATGTACAATATGATCTCTTCCTCACAAAGAAGACAGAAATAATGATTCCTTGAAAATCAAATGGAACATTCCCTTAAAACCTGCATCATCTTTTTGGGTGAGATGTGGTAAGATACCACAAAATACATACATAGGAGGAAGAAGAACTCTTGTGAATGAGAACATTCTTCTTAGAGTTCCTGTTTTAACACTTCTGCCTGCATACGTAATGACAGCCAGTTCACTCTTCACTGTAAATTTAGGAGAAGCTTCCTCTTCAACGCTGTAAGGAATGTCCAACTTCTGCATGGGGCCGGCCCCTGGCTGTGGCCACATGTGGAAGCTGCACTTTGGAAACCTCCTTTCTTGCTCAAAGCATGCTTTGCCAAGGGCTTCCAGTGACTGGCAGAAAAGGACAGCAGACACCTGCTGGCCATTGTGCCCCCATAACCAGTTCCCATGCCACAGACTGGAAGCGATGCAGTGGGTGCTGTAGGTCTTAAGAAATGACCTTCTCATTCCTCCTGATCACCCGGGAAGGCAGGCACCATTTCCCCCACCATTCTGTCCCTCTCCCCACTTCGCCTCTGTGTTCTGCCCGTCCCATCTCCAAAGCCCCATCTTAATGGCTGTTGCGAGAGGCGTGCAAAAAGACACCCTCGTACGCTGTGTCTTGGGGAGCTGGCTGTGAGGGACTTCTCTACCGTTCAGTTAGCACATCCTGCAACGTGAACTACAAAGTCAAATGCCACATTTGTCACCCCTTCAAATGCTCCGGCTCTCTGGCTGGTTGGAGGTGTGAGCTAATTGGTGCCATGGCAGTTGCCTCCATGATGGATGGCACTGCAGTTAAACCCATGTTATCAGTGCCTTCCGGTGGAACACGCCATCAGTGATGACCCACCTGGTGCTGCCCCCAGGTAGTTTCACAGTGCAGAGAGATCTCCTTGTGGTTCTTTCCTTTCCTTTTAAAAGTTTTTTTTTTTTTAAGATTTAATTATTTATGCATACAGAACTGCGGAACAAGCCAGAGGTACAGGGGAGGTAAGAGGCTTCACCAGAGACAGAGCGGAAGCAGGACAGGCAGCTGGACGAAGTACACTACTGAGGGGAGCAGTGAGTGGGTCAGGAGAGGTCTGCTGCACCATGTGGGTCACCTCCAGGGCCGGGGATCGAACCCACACTGAAGCAGTTGTGGCCAGCTTACAGTGGCTGCGTCCCAACCTATTGCACCACCAGGGAGGGTCCTTAACAATTTTTTTCAAGTGAAAGTCATCTCAAGACTTTTAACTAGCAGAGGGTAGGTGAGAAACAGGTTTTTGGCCCAGGAAATCTCAAGGAGCATTTAGGTTCTGTGCTCAGACACAGCATGACGTCCACTAGGTTGGTTTTGATGGTACCAGTTTTCTTGCTGGAATCTTACTTGAGAGATCTGCCTCTGCTCTCTCACAAATCTGGCTACTGAGCAATGCCCATCGCTCAAGCTATTGAACTCTTGAGCTTGTCTCACTCAGATGGCAGCCTTCTCAGGATGTTGTATAGATCTTAAGGGCATTACTTGCTTGACCTGAGGTTCCAGCTTCTCTGGGAGAAGCTTTAATTCTATTTCTTGTCTGATAAATGGATATAACCCACTTTTTTCCTTTGTCCTTAATCCACTTTCTTTCCTTTTCCACTCTTGAGCAACCAGAGGGGGAATCAGCAGTTCATCCTGATCAAAGGAGTTGGGAATCATTTCTGAGAAGCAATCCCCAGACATTGTTCCTTTAATTTTTTTAATCTAATTTCGATAGAGTAACTTGTAATTTCACATAAATACAGTAAACAGGACCTCCCTAGTGGTGCACGGGTTAAAGTCTCAGCACTGTCAATCTATTGTCAGCCACCAAGGCCTGAGTTCTATCCCCAGCCAGGGAGCTGACCCACATGGCCCAGCAGACTCCCTTCTCATCCGCTGCTCCCCTCAGCAGTGTGTGTCTCAGTCAGTCTTCCTGTTCGGCTCCCCACTCTGTCTCTGATGAGTCCTGTCACCCCTGCACCTCCGGCTTACACCTCAGTTTTTGTATGAATAAATAAATAAAACAAGTCTTTCTTAAAATACAGTAAACATAGCTGGCTTAATTCTTACAGTAGTATCTTGTGGTCTGATCAACTTGGAGAGACATACAAGTGGACTCTATGTCTTGTGTGAATGAGATAAGGACAACAATATGCCTTTGAAGTCTGTCTTAAATCATGAAGCAAAGAGAGGGATGAACAGAAAGTCATCTTTCCCTCTTCTAAGTCTTATGTGGACGACATATGGTTTATTTTCTCTTATTTTACAGAGAACAAACACAGTCTTTTTGACTGACTTGCCCGAGCTGTCAGAGTTGATGAGAGGACAGAGCGCAGGCCCCTCCCTCAGCAGCACTGGGCTGCCGCAGGACTCCAGGTGGCCTCAGGCAGTGCCTTTCCGTAAAGCAAAGGCTGCCTGCCCCTTAGTACCATGGACAGAAGTACTGGAGGCCTCCATTGGAGACCTCTTGGTCCATTACTTGGGAGTGAAAATGATTTAACCAAGTAAAACTCCTTGCAGAGAGTAACTGCCTTAGTGTGGATTTTGACCAAGGTGTTTTGCTATAGGTAACTACCAACTGCATAAAAGAAATCACAAAAGTCAGATGATGAAGACTAGCTACTTTTTGATAGGGCTTTCATTTCTTTCTTTCTTTCTTTTGTCTTTAAAACAATAGGAAGGTGCTTAGTCTCCCCTAAGAAAAATAATACCTGTAAGAAAAAGTTGTCTAAAGCAAATTCCCTTAACATACAGTTTATGCCCCTAAAGTCCTCTCCTGAAGGCTGAATAACTTGATAAACTTTCAGTCTCCATTTAAGTTTTGAGGCATGCTTAATCTCTGTTCAGTTTTATTTTTTCAGGAATTAGTTTTCCCCAATCCTCTAGACTCTCTCTTTGGGTCCTTACCCCATTGCCAACTCCACCCACACCCAAGTGTATAGCGGTGCATTGATTTCTACTTAAACTTAACCTCTTGGGGTTTTACTAGATATTCATTTCTAAGCTTATTCTAAGTCCTTTAGGAATAGTGGTTTGCTTGTTTTTTTTTTTTTTTTACTCTTTTGAATTTGATGGATATACATCCATTTCAAAATCAAACTCATGAGTGAATATTTCAGTCACCAAAATTGCATTTTAAAATGACCGGTCTTCCCTCGGTCTTCAGAGAAAATAACTTTGCACATAAATAAGGGTCCCAAGGTACTAATTCTCATTTTCAGATTTGGTTTTCCTTGACACTTTTTTAAATTAAATCAAGTACCACCTAAGTAATATGTGCAGGGTTATTTTAAGAACAAAACAAAGTCATAACCCCGTGAGGGCAGGGACCATGCCTCATTTTGCTCAACATTGGGAATCCCAAGTTCTTAGGACAACGGCTAGCACAGAGTCTGTGTTAGAAGACTCTTTGTTGAATGAAAATCACATGTTAAAAGAGTATTTGTAATATCTGTCAGATGTTTATGAGGTTGATAAGAAATCACCAGACAGTACTATATTTTTATTTGAACATAAAATTCCCATGATTTACATTGTTTTCCACCAAAAATAAAGTAGTCATTCATTTGGAGAGAGATTAGGAAATTGATGACCCCCACTTTTGCTTTTTCTTTCAACATTTATAAATAGAATTCTGAAGCTGTTTGACAGTGGGGATTTTCATTTAAATCTCACTGTATTCTTGTAGTTTTACATGTATAACTTCAGGTTCTCATCACAGGAATCTGTTGAAGACAAATAAGTAATTTATCCCAAAGCAAAGAGTTAGGCATTGGCAGAAAAGAAGCCATCCCAAGTCACCAGTAGGGGAGAAATGCCATTTCTAGACCTCAGAGATGCTAGGACCATTTCAAGAATGGTCACTTCCAAGCAGTTCTTGGTACCCTTCACTTATTTTCCCCACTAGTCAACAAACATAGGTATTTACCATCATGCAATACAAGTAGTGCCATTTTCATGGACTGGTTTTTGGGTACTTGTAAAGTTGAGATGGAAATACTTCCCCTGAAGTACTCATACATTTGAATTCAGTTTGACTTGGCACTGAATTTTTTTTTTTTTTAAATAAACTCATCACCTACCTTTCTTACTTTCTCACAAAATACTCTGTCCTTGTTCTCAAAAACCCTGGAAAGTGATCGTTTCAGATTGATTGATTATTACTTTACAGCCTGACAGCATTTAGTGTAACATGAGAATGGGTGTTGAAATTGTGTTTCTTAGCCTTCTGCTCTTGAGAGTAAGATCTTTGTTTTACTGTCCTTCCTGCTAATAAAATCCAGGCACTTTCACAAATTACCTTAATTATCTGCATTTGCCTTCCCAAGGTGGGGATTAAGAACAAATGAAGGAACAGCTCTTTCCTGTGCATTTAATTAGACAAGAGAAAACGGCAACTGAAAACTAACCAGGACTAGCCAATTAAAAGTCATTTTAATTTCCCTTCTATCCTTCCGTTTAACCCAGGGAAGGAAAGGTTTCTGATTAGCCTTGAGTGAGCGCAGGAGAAATAAATCTTTATTGGGTGCCAGTGGGTTTCCGTACATTCACAGATCTCTGAGAAAAATGTACCTGTGTCCCCAACACCTGACAAGCTTTAACTCAGAAAAGTAAAACCACGAAACAAGTGAATGCCTGTCATAGGTAAAATATTAAAATCCGTCTTGGCACTCATTTCAAGGAGCTCACAGTGACTTTTGCTTCATTTCTCTAGGACTCTGAGGAAGAGGAAAGTGAGCTGGAGGCTCTTAACAGGAAGCTGATAAGCTCACAGCCTTACGTCCCTGTGGAGTTCGCCGACTTCAGTGTTTACAATGCCAGCTTGGAGAACAGGGAGTGGTTTTCTTCGAAAGTAGATTTGACAAACTCAAGGGTCTTGGAGAAAGAAGTGTCCCGTAGCCCCACCACCAGCAGTATTACCAGTGGCTACTTTTCCCACAGTGCCTCCAGTGCCACCCTGTCTGACATGGTGGTCCCTTCCAGTGACAGCTCAGACCAGCTGGCCAACCAGGTGAAGGATGCCGACTCCAGCGAGCATTCTGGACCCTCTCTCTCAAGCAGAGAGCCGACGGAACTAGACAGAGGCCTGGTAAAGGAGAAGATACTTACGGTGCCACTCAAGGAAAACAGTGCCTTAGCCAAAGGGAGCCCACCACCCCAAAGCATCCCTGGAAAAAACTCCCAGGCTCTCTGTAGGCCTGGCTCGCTTTCAGAACAAGATGCCTGCCCCAGCAAGAATGGTCAACGGGCCAGGGAATTCTGCCCCAGGGAGGTGACTGTAGAACACACCACAAACATCCTGGAGGACCATTCTTTCACAGAGTTTATGGGTGTGTCGGATGGGAAAGATTTTGACGGTTTGACAGATTCTTCTGCTGGAGAGCATTCGAGTAGGAGGAATCTACCAAATAAAATGGACAGTCAGAGTGTCTCAGATGAGCCCCGAGACCCAAGCCAGCAGCACTCCTCGACGCAGGATGACCAGGTAGTCCATGCAAGAGGCAGTGCTTTGGGGTCTGGGTACGTGTGAGCACATCCAGCTGTAGACCTAACCCCAAGGCCCTTCCTTGAGCAGTTGCAGTTTGGAAGTTACCCAAATTGGCTTACTATAATGTTTGATTTTCATATTGGGACAACATGCAATGTTATGGTCCTAAAAAAATAGTGATACATATATATATATACACACATATATAAAATAAGATGATCCACTGCTAAGCAATCCACTCCTGAATTACCACTGTTTCTTCCTGTTCAGGGTCACTGTTTTAACCCCGCACCCTAAAGACAGCTGTATATAGGGGACTGTGGCACCCCAGAGCCTAACAAAACAAAAACTGACAGAACTAGAACAGGACTTGATAAAGGATAAGATAATCTTATCTTGGTGCTAATCTGTCTTCATTTTGCTGAGGAAGTTATTCCAGTTTGGTGACATTTTCAGCCCTGCCTTCCATACAAGCTCTTAAAATGTTAGTGTGTGGTTATTTATATGACAAAATCAAACTATAAAATCCTAAACAGTGACCTCTTAGAGAAAGAAAAACTTTTTTTCCCTAGCATAAGAGTAACAAGTTATTGTGGTTCTTGCAGACTAAACCTTCATCGGTTTAAGTCTTCAACTTCCTTTACACTCATCCCCAAGCAGAATCTGTTTTGTGGGCTGACATCAGCTTTTTAGTCCCCCCAAGAAGGACTTGCCAAGAAGCCCAGGGGTTCATTCTTCACCCTGGAACACAACTTTTCAAACCTCAAAGTGCAGTAAACTCACAGGGAGGTACTGGGAGAGGGGACCTCTTAAAAATGGGAATTCCTAGAAGTCTTGCCTCCTCCCCCAACTAAGAAGACTTCAGTTTGGGAGGAGTAAGGCGAAGATAAGGTTTTCACAAACGCTTCCAGCAGAAAGGTTGGGCGCCTGAAGGCTGAACCTTCCAGTTGCACAACCCACAGGGAGAGAAGAGCAACAGCCTCTTATTGCCGACATTGTTTAGAGCAGGACAGAAAAGAACTGTAGCTTTTTTTTGCTTTGGAAAATTTCCAGATCTTGGTTGAAAAGTGAAACTTACAAAAATAGATGTTGTATTGAGGAAGGGTGAAATGACAGTTATTTTTTTTCTTTTTTTAATTGCTTGAATAGTTTTGTTATATTGGTTTTATAGATTTATTTATGTATGCAGAACTGATTGTACAGGCCAGAGGTACAGGTGGGGGCAGTGAGAGGATTCACCAGAGACAGAGTGGGGAGCAGAACAGGCAGATCCACTGAAACACACTGCTAAGGGATGCAGCGAGGAGAGAGGAGAACTCTGCCATGCCATGTGGGTCTCCTCCCTGGCCGGGGATCGAACATGTGCTGCAGTGGCTATATATAGCTTCGTAGAGCTGAGACTTAACCCCTTGAGCCACCAGGGAAGGCCCATATTGGTTTTAATATGTTGTTGTGAAGGTGTTAAAATTGCAGGACTTTTGAGTACTAAAATTGGACATTTGTTCTCATGCTGTAGGCCTTTCTTTTTTGACTTTACCTGTTGTCATTACTTTCCCTACACATTTCATCTTGGGGCTGGGTTTCTTCCTTACAGTGTGTAAATTCTAGTTCTGGATTCCAAAATAAGCCAGGTCCCCTGGGGCCCATTCTGAGGAGCTCTTTGCCTGGGTGGGCAGGGGAGGCTGAGGTGGGCCCTGTGGGTAGGGAGGGGAGGCTGAGACAGGAACCTGACTCTCTGGCTTCTGCATTTCAGGGGAGCGCAGCTGCTCGGTGAGCCGCAGCAACACGCAGCCGGCTTCTGCGTCCCCGGTCACCTTGCAAAAGCACCAGCTCCATCTTTGAAACATGCTGCGGCCGGCCGACCGACCTCAGGTCTCCGAGGAGAAGCCGTGGGCCACCAAGGCCACCTCCTTCCCCTCCCTTGGGGACAAGCGGCACTTTGTTACTCGGGTGAATCGGCAGCCTCTGCTTTTCCCAAAAAGTCAGGGAACCGAAACTCCTGGATGAATTAAGTGGCAGTATTTTCGTTTGCACTTAACTACACAACCTGCTGTGTAGAAACCTCCACAAATTCAAACAGACTTTATTCTTGTACAGTTTTAATCAGTTCCTACTGTAGAATCTGGAGTCGCTGTTCTAATTTGTTGGGGTTTTTTTTTTTATAAATAATATATATTATGTAAATGAAATGTGTATCTAACGTATGTCTGTTTGGAGACACGCAAGACTGCACACAAAAATGCAGATAAAAATGGTTTGTAGAAAATCATAAGGTACTGGACTTTGTTACAAAGCAACTTGGACGGTCTCTTATACAGATAAAAAAAAGATACTTTGACTAAGAATGAGGTTGCAAATCCCTCTTTGCAAAAAAGGTTACAGAATGCTGTTCTTTATAACCAAAGAACTTCCGTAAGACTGAACGTTTTTGCTGTCCACTCTTGTGTGTGTGTGTGTGCGTGTGTGTGTGTGTGTGTGAGAGAGAGAGAGAGAGAGAGTTTGGTGCCATGCTTCCTGGGCTGCCAGGCCTCATGCTGCCGTCTGTCCCGTTTCATAAGCACACTGAAAATAAATCTCACAGCTGTATTTTCTCGTCTTCCTCCTGGCCTGCGGACGCACATTGTAACCATTGACAATAGCCTGGTGGCTAATGCCCCGCACAGCCCACCCTGGGTTCAGCCCAGCCTGGCAGGTGGAATGGAGTGAGCAGTATTACTGTAAGAAAACCAGAAGCTACCAGGGGTTGGGGCTAGGGGGAGAGGGTGTTGGTTTTTGTCTCTTTGTGGTTTGGTTTGGGATTGGTAGGTTTTGTAGTGATGTGGTTTTGCTGTGTTATTTTACTTAATTCTGGAAAATCTCAGAAGAGGTGGAACAAGCGATAAAGTTCAAGGACACTCGCTTCACTGCGTCTGCAGGAGATGACTGCTTACAGAGGACTCTGAGTCCATGTCTTCGTTCGCGACATCCTCCATCTGACAGAAATGTGGAAGGGTGATGTGTGGGGAAATTTTTGCAAAAGGACTTTATGTCTGTGCTGTGTAGATGCCTGTACAATTGGTGTGGATGTACAGCAATACATGTGATTGTGAGGGAGAGAGAATGTCCTTGATCTTTGAACATTTTAGCACCAGTAAATCAGTAAGATATCGGAGACTTTAATGAAAAGCTGCTGTTCATGATTTGTGTGTATAGTGAGCTGACTGTAGTATTTTACTATTGTCTGTTTAAGAAAAAAGAAAAACTGTAATTTATATCCCCCTTCAACTTTATTATATTTAATTGGTACAGAATTGTGTGTGTGTGTGTATGTTTTAGAATACAAACTGTCTTATTCGGATTTTAAAATAGCAGTTGTCTGTCTTTAATAACCGCCATGAGTTTTGGATCTAGTTCCGTATTTGTTTTGTTTTGTTTTTTGTTTTTCCTTTTAAAGATTTATTTACTTATATATACAGAACTGGGGCACAGGCCTGAGGTGTGGTAGGTGAGAGGATTCACCAGAGTCAGAGCGGTGAACGGAACAGGCAGATTGACTGAAATACACTGCTGTCAGGAGAGGTCTGCCATGCCATGTGGGTCAGCTCCCTGGCCAGGGATCGAATTCATGCTGCAGTGGCTTCGGAGAGCTTCGTAATGCGGTGCTTTAACCCGCTGCACCACCAGGGAGACCCTAATTGTGTATTTGTATGTGGGTCTGCCACGTCACATTTAACAGTAGTAGAACTGCCAACACTCATCAAGATGTTAATCCCACAGCTGTTTGACATGGGAAACTGAGGGAGAGGCCTTTGTTGGGAAGGAGAGGGAGGATGGCACGTCTTAATCTCCCCCACGCTGCACTTTCCCATCTCTGTGTTTTGTCTGGCGATGCATCATAGTGGGGCAGGCCTCTTGGTACCAGCAAAGGCCAGTGGGCTGTGCAGAAGCTACACCTCAGACTCACCAACCTTAGTGGGGGCTGGGAGGCCTGGGGGCAGGCAGGCGAGGAGGCGGTAATATGCACACACCGATCAGGACACTATTCCTTTGAACAAGTAGCTGTGTCCTGCCACCCGTGAAGCAGTGGCTACAGATTATCTCGCTCTCACATTAAAGGTTTCTCAAAAAAGGCAGGGTACAGAACCTTTTCTGAAAAATCTCAGTTCACAGTTGCCTTTTTACAGTGATCAACAATTAGGTGTAGCCTATTCTGGACCAGCATGACTCCTATTAGAGACTTAAAAGTAGAGAGAGGCGAAAAATATCCCAAAACCGATTTGATTTTTATAAAATGGGGATGAGAAGGAAAGCAGATATTTAATATTTAAATAAACAGTGATGACTACAAACAGTTAATCAAATAGTTGTCGCCTTGCTAGTGTGAGGCAGTGGTCTTTGGTCATTCAATGTTGTCGTTTGTCTTTATGACAGTGGGAAAGCGAAGTGGTCATAGAACACAGTTTGTTGTTGGATAGTTAAGTAGAGATTTGTGCTTAACAGTCCACATCCAAAGTAGTTGACACATTTGTAGTCATTTGGACACAGCTATTGTCATGGCAAAAATAGAACCTTGTTTGTAGGTATTAACTTAAATACCTCTATGGTTCAACTGGAAGATGCTGTCTTCTAAACTATTCTGCTCTGGCCAAATCTTATTGTTTACATTGCAGTGTTCCAGAATTGTTACTGTGTTGGGGAATGAAAGGCACCTAATTACATGATTAAGGAGCTTTATTTTATAAAGGATACCTTCCTGGTCATATAATTTGGGAGTCTTGAAAGAAGACGTAATGCATTCTTGCTCTCTTGGGAACCAAAAACAAAAAATAAGCCTCCACTCCCCAACCACAGAGAGCTTTCTGAATTCTTGCACTTATCATAGTAATACCGGGTCAAGTGTGATGTAGAATGTCGCACGTACCTCCTAGATTGACAAAAGGCAGCAGCAGGTCAGCCTGAAATGCGTAGTGCTTCATGTCAGGTTTTCAGCTAACCTAGACAAAAGGCAGCCTGATCCAGTGCCTGGTGTACCCCAGCAGACCCGAGTCTGCTCCAGTCCCCTGCTGATGGGGGAACCTGGAATAGAGAACCCGCCCCTGCGAGAATCGAAAAATTTATCCATCTCATACATTGTGATCTGGAGCTAATGGTACTGAATATAAAGTCCCAAAGTCTAGGTTTAACCCCCTTGTCACTTCTTTCTAATCACCCCTGTGAAGGGAAAGATGATTGTAGATTTGAATGTTACTTCAGGATCATTTTTTCCTCCAATGAGTTGATTTAAGTTCAAACTTGATCTTTTGGGGCCTTCCTGCTGGTACAGGGAGTTAGGTCTCAGCACAATTAAGCTAGCTGCAGCCACTGCAGTACAAGTTCAACCCCCAGCCAGGGAGGTGACCCGCATGACACAGCAGACTTCTGACCTGCCCACTGCTCCCCTCAGCAGTGTATTTCAGTGGATCCACCTGTTCTGCTCCCCACTCTGGTGAATCCTCTCACCCCCCACCACACACACACACATCTCTGGCCTACACCACAGCTCATGTGGGCATAAATAAATAAATATATATATATTTTAAAAAGCAAAGGAGGGCCCTTCCCGGTGGCACAGTGTGTTAAAACACAGCACTATGAAACTATCGCAGCCACTGAAACATGAGTTTAATCCCAGGCCAGGTGATCTGTATGTACAAATAAATAAATCTTTTTTTTTTTTTT